TCTTTAGAACGCTTCGGTTACATATCTTTAAAATATTGTTAAGATATTGTCGATCATCTTTCTCTAAAGCAGCCTTTGCGGTTTCGTAAATACCAACAGACATGGCTAGTATTAGTTTAGAACTTCTGATAAATTTTCCGATTGCCATAAAACGCACATGCTATAAAATCGGCGGGTACGCGTATAATAATAAGAGACGAAATTTACATAATATTTCAGTCAATTTTACATAAATACTCGTGCTTGATCAGAAAGATCCAGCAACGTCATAGACCTTTCCGTGCATACTATTAGCCTGAACGGTATGATCGATCAAAAAAATCCAGCTAAAGGGGATTGAGGATTTTTTTGAATTAGCCAATCGGATAGCCTGTATTCGAGCCCCTGATCGCTTTAGCGATCAGAACTCCCATCAGATGGCTGGAATCTGACTCAGAGCGTGCAAAACTCATGCGTAAGACCGCTTTTCTGCGCGTTCATGTTCGAAGGCCTTGCTACTGGATGATATCTTAGAACTGGACTGTTAAACTTTCAATACAATACACTGCGCGAAGTTTGATAACTGGACTGCTATTTTAATTTAATAACTTTCTCCCCAATTTTTACCTTAGTCGCGTGATCGCTCTGATTACCCCTAGTCCGCCCTTGGCAGTGAAGAAGTTCTTCCGCATCGTTTTTATCAACATTATCGTTTAAGTGTCCAAGTATATCTTCAACACTCCAATGTCTCGGAGATGATCTTTCCTTGCTGTCAATGGTTGGAATGACAATGTGAATTAATGATGATTATTTTATACTAATTCTGCAAGGCCCTCTAAAAGTGGCGCAAGTACCAATCCTAGAAAACCACTCCCGCGCTGAACAAGAATTTTCCTTTTCTTTCTAAACTCCTATTTCTGTGCGCTAAGTCAGCGAGATCGTCTTTAAATGGTCCAAGTTTGTTCAATATTCCTTTAGGATATGTAAAGTTTTCCAAGCAATTACATAGAAAGCGAATCTGTTCATGAGATGCAGAATTCAACAGAGCTTGCTGTTGAATTGGATGAGAAGTACACAAGAGCTCCACAAACGGTCTGTGTTTGATATAACTGCTAGTCATCTCTGTTTGGCAGTCAGCAACGGAATGAAGACTTAGTTGGAAATAACAACATATTTATATATTAACGAAAATAGATTTTATCTTCCAATATCTTAGGATATCATCCAGTATCTTAGGGTATCATACAATATCTTAGGATATCATACAATATCTTTGGATATCATACAGTATGTTAGGATATCAATATATTAGGATATCATTCAGTATCTTAGGATATCAATATCTTAGGATATCAATATCTTAGGATATCATTCAGTATCTTAGGATATCAATATCTTAGGATATCAATATCTTAGGATATCATTCAGTATCTTAGGATATCATACAATATCTTAGGATATCAATATCATAGGATGTCAGTATCTTAGGATATCAAAAAGTATCTTAGGATATCATACAATATGTTAGGATATTATACAGTATCTTAGGATATCAATATCTTAGGATATCATACAGTATCTTAGGATATCAATATCTTAGGATATCAATAACTTAGGATATTATACAGTATCTTAGGATATCATAAAGTATCGTAGGATATCAATATCTAAGGATATCAATATCTTTGGATATCATACAGTATCTTAGGATATCAATATCTAAGGATATCAATATCTTACGATATCACTCAATATCTTAGGATATCACACAATATCTTAGGATATCATCCAGTATCTTAGGATATCATAAAATACCATCGGATATCATCCAGTATCTTAGGATATCATCCAGTATCTTAGGATATCATCCAGTATCTTAGGATATCATCCAGTATCTTAGGATATCATACAATATCTTAGGATATCAATATCTTAGGATATCAATATCTTAAGATATCATACAGTATCTTAGGATATCAATATCTTAGGATATCATACAGTATCTTGGAATATCATAGGATTATTTATGTTGATTTGACCATATAATACTATTTATGTAACGGTACACAAACTTCGAATTCATTTTGCATTGGATTGTGAACCTCTAAACATATCTTATCCCTGCGAAGTCTGTGGAAGACCGTTTTCAACACCTCATGGTAACCGTTCACGTCACAAAAAACAGATGCATAGCACCAGTACAGATGAAAGAAGGTTAAGTGTAATTGGCAATAGTCCAGTGTTAAGCAGCATCCTTTTACATGCATCGTAGCTGGGTATACGCAAAGTGGCAAAACTGTATCGGTAAAATCTCTCTTGGAGAGATTCCTGCTCCTCAACGTATTATCTGGTGTTAGGGTCAATGGCAACCCTCCTATTTTGATATGTCGAGGGCGATTCCTGAAATCGAGTTTAATAAAGGCATTCCAAAAGCATCGACGACACAGACTACTTGGACGTATCGCAACGGAATTTGATCGTACTGGACGATCTCATGGCACAGTCTAGTAAAGACAAACGTATTGCTGATCTTTTTACCAAAGAAAGCAACGCCGTAATTTGTCCATCATCTATATTGTCCAAAATATATTTCATCAGGGCAAAGAAATGAGAAATATCAGCCTTAATGCTCATTATATCGTGTTGTTCAAGTCACCAAGAGATAAACAGCAAATTTCTATGCTTGCAAGGCAGGTAGATCCTGGTAAAGTACAAGAATTTATGAGGAGTTATGAAGTTGCCACGAGCCGACTCACGGATCTTTGATGTTGCATTTAAAACCAACAACAGACGACCAACAACGACTCAAGACCAACGTACTTCCCGGCGAGATTGCAAAGTTTATACAAAAACAGTCGTATCAACAACCACCACAATTAAATGCAATGTATGATGCCGAACAGAGAATGAAAGAAATCATGGAAGCGCAACAGCTTAGCCCAGAGGAAAAAAGCAAGTTATATTCTGATCAACTAAACCGGTTTCTGAGTTTCAAAAATAAGATGGATGTCCCGGCTCACTATCACGAAGCCCCTGTTTAGAGAACTCCACTAGTGCCTACTACTCCTGTGCCAGCGGAAATACCACCACCAGTACCTTCTATTTCTGTATCAACAGAAATACCATCACCAGTACTTGCTACTCCTAAACCTAATTTCCTTACACCGCCATCAACAGGAGAGGAACGACCAAAACTCAAGCGCAACTTTTTTCACACTTGGGTAGATTCTGCTGATTGGAAAGAAAGTGATCTGGCTATGACGAAACGAAGGAAAGAGAGCGTTTTGAACGTTTTTTGCTAAACGAAAGACCGAAATATATTCCAATGAAGCATGAAGATTTTGCATGATTATCACCTGAGGATAGAAAAGAATATGAGAACTCTTTAAAAATAACAAAAACACCTGAAAGTTATGCTCTCAGAAGTAGACCGTACTAAATTTTGTAAAACGTTTAGAAGAAATAAATGCAATTTCAAAAATGAAATCTTGTGTAAATTTTTGCCGGCAAAGCCCGATCTTTCCTATCTGCGCGACCCGCCTGCCTGAGTACAACTATGTTGTATATTAGTATATGCATGCACCCAAGCGTCGCTAATGACTGACAACACATAGCAACGTATATAGCAACCGCATTTTTGATTAATTTTTTATGGCAAAATCTATTACAACTGTTCTAAAAGTTTTTTCCCCACAGAATCAAAATGCACCATTTTTCGTAGGCGAAGAGGCAGTATCTTTACCGTGTAGACATGAATTAAGCGTTGTCAACTAAAGACTATGCTTCGAACGGACCGGCTCCGAGCCAGGTTCCGAGATATTTAGACTATCTGCTTCGCTGTAAGCTTTCAAAGTTTCCGATTTGAATTAGGCTCCGAGCTAGATTTTCATTTCCCGCCAAAAAGAACACCTGTTTTTAAATCTTGCGAGCTGGGCTTGAACCAACGACCTAAGGAACTACAGTCCTCCGCTCTACCAACTGAGCTATCGCAAGAGCATGTTTTAATCACGCGAAAAAACAATCAAAATACATGCGCGTTTGGTTGCGCTACCTGTCACATTTGCCCAGGCTTGCCCGAGTGACGCCTGATCTTATTCTGTGGGGTCATTGCACTAGGGTTGAAGGCTCTCAAAGCAGTACTTTGATGTGTTTGGTCGCGCTACCTGTCACAGTTGGTCCAGGGTTAGGGTCAGCAAAGTGACGTCATAGATTTTGCATACTAATTACTTCCGACACCTAAGTTTGCATAATAATTACTTCCGTTGCCAGATAGGTGTCTTTTACTACTTAAAACGCTCTAAGCCCGACGATTTGGTTTCATTTGACAAATTCTGACAGTTGCTTCTGACAACGACAGGTTCATGTTCGGATCGGATCCAATCAAAAACATATAAAAATGAATCTGTTTTGATTTAAATTAGTCAACGTTTTTCTACTAAAAGCACAATAAAAAAGGTATGCTATTTTTGTATTTTTGTATTTTTTCTGGTCGTCTCACGATACTTTTACTTAGTTTGCAATATTTATGTCATTGAAAAATACATGACACAAATGGGAAGAGAATATATTCGTGACGTGTTTTCGCTACTGCAATTAAACTTTCTCTTAAATGGGAAAACATTTATTTTACAATATGTGCATGTTTAAGCTGTAATTTTCACGCTAAGTGGCCGAATACGTAAGAATATTAGAAAATATGTAGTTCTCTCCGCGTAAGTTTTATACATGTCCAATAACTTTCCGATTTTCATTCGCATTTCGATCAAAATATTAGACAGATTTAGATTGAGGACGCGGACGTCAAGAGGACGTTAGATGGCGTAATATGGCGCGAAAATGTGGCGTCGGGTTGATGGCGACGTAGTCTTAGCGATTTTCAGGACGCCAAAAGCAAGTTTTCACGTCGTGCCTAGGACGTCAACATTTTGTGTTTATTTTTCCCGTAAAAAAGGTATGTACACAGTAAAAGAGGTATTAAATAAGTTTTATTAGTCACCTTGTTTTGTTATTTTGTTATATTATGCAAATTTACTGATTATAGTCGCATAATTAACGGTAGCAAGTTGTGCAAAATTTGTTTCCGGTTTTGCAATGGTTTTGCTAAGATGGCCAAAAGTAAACAAACATATACAAATAACAACCCGTCGTAACAAGCTACAAATTCACCTGTTTGCCAGTGTCAACTGTCTAGCAAGATATATATGATCTAATTCTTTAATATATTTGTATTCGTTACGGTTTTAAAGGCAATTAAAGTTCACACGGTTTTCAGGGTTTTGTCAATAGTTTTCAAGTAGATTATTTTATATCGGTTTAGTATACTAGTTGCACACAGCTAGTGTGCAAAGCATTTCTTAATTAAAGATGATTTCTGTGATCTTTTTAGAGTTAGTGTTATAGCTATGGAAGACAAAAGTGACTGCCTGAAGAAAAGGTAACTAAAAATCCAAATATAATATAGGCTGACGTTTATGTTAATATAACCAATGCTTGAAAGCCTGAACTCAGTCTGAAAAATTATTAAATGAACCGTTGAGTATTAAATGCATATATTCAAGTAAGTAGTGTGGACATACAGGATTGTGGTACCTTGCTTGAGTATACTTATCCCATGCAGTGCTAATTATGTTGCTAGTACTGCTAATATAGCTATATAATATTTTACTAGGTCCAGTATGGTGTGGTCGAAACAAAAAGACCTTGCACTGCTGAAAGAAGTTGCCGCAGAAGGTGTTCTCATCCACAAGCAGAGATCGAGGGAACGGGGTATGCAGTGGCAAAAGGTGGCTGACAACATGAGCCTTATGGGTCAAGACATCACAACGAGAGCAGTCAGAGATCACTATAAAATGATATCAAAAAAATATCGAGCTAGAATGGCCAGAGAAGAGAGAGCAACAGGTGAAGGTGGTGCTGAACTAACTGAGGATGAAATGTTGCTGGAAGAATTGATTGATGTGGAAGACGAGACTGACCGGCAGATGGAAAATGAGACTGAGGCCAAAAATCAGAGGATTGAGAATAAAAGAGGACAAGCGTTGGAGATGAGGGAAAGAGCAATGGAGCGGATCGGGCAAACCAGGAAAAGGATGGGAGGTGCGAGTGAAAGTGGTGGAACAGTACAAAAGAGGAGAAGATCAGGAGAGATGATGGAATGGTTACAAGAGAGGATAGAGTTGGAGAAAGAAGAAAAGGAAGTAAAGCAGACTGAGAAGAGAGAACATATGGAAGCACAAAGGATGCAACATTTGGAAATTTTGCAAGTGATGCAGCAAACACAACAGCAATTTGGCATGCAGATGAAGCTTTCTGAGCAATATCTCCAGCAGCAAATGCAGCAGCAACAGCAGCAGCAACAACAGCAGCAGCAAGAATTTGGATTTATGCAGCAACGAATGATTGCTCTGATACAACAACAGCAACAGCAAACACAATTGTTGGCAAACATATTTCAAAAAAAGTTTTAATTACATGACATTGGGCCATTCCAGAAAGTATCCACACTTCCCCCAACAGAGGGAAACTTTTGCCATCCAGAGGGGCAGAGGAAGAAAAATGTGATTCTGATAATAGTTAGTGTATCAGGAGACATCTGAAGGGGATAAGGAGGTTAATATTTAATTTCCTCTGTCCGGGAGGTATGGATGTTTTCTGGAATAACCCATTTTGACAATTTCTTATACTAATTTTTAATAATTAAGTTATTTACATCATCATTATTTACAAGACAAGTTTTTAAATTATGAAAGCCAGTTATTTGTATATAAAACAGTTAGAGGTTCATTAAAAACTCAAAACTCTTTATTCTGGCCAATGGCACATAATTTAATGTCGTTATTGGCCTTAAGATATTATTCCCCTTAAGATATATATAAATTATAGAACATTTTCAATGTATAATATTATTTAATTATGACAATTATTGATAAATTATATTTTAAGAAAGCAGGCCTTGCATACATTGTTACCTGGTAAACTGTCAACTTTAAGGTCCAAGACAGGCCTGATTTGTGTAATTTTGCTTGCACTTTTCAGGTGTAAGCTCCCTATTTCTAAACGGTGCTTGCAAATGAATTCCCAGTGGGTAAGCTGGATCACATAGAGACAAAGCGGTTGGTTGTTGTGGAAGGCAACCTGCCGTAAGGAAGCTAGAAGCCCTGATACACGAAGCATTGTACTGTCGTGTCTTTTACCTTCGTAAGGCCCAGCAAGGTTAGCAATAAGACCATTAGGCAGCACAACACTTTGAAATTTTATGGAATGCACCCTCTTGTGACCATTGTACATTTGTCGCTGGTAGTATTTCGGTCGAGCAATTGGGCGAACAGTGCCTGCATCGATAAATCCAAAGCAGTTTTCCAATGGGGCACCCTTGTCATGTACTGCATCAGCACAATTTTGGAGCAGCTCTGGTGACAAAAAAGGCTGATTCCAACTCTCCAGGCGGTGGTGGTGTGCATCATATACCAAATCCAGAACTTCGTTAAATATGAGGCATATCTCAGTTGGGTTTCTACCAAAACGTATAGCCATATCAGGATATCTGCATGGGTAAGCAAGTCTTTTTAGGAAAATGCATAGTCCTTCGATTCCAGAACTACGGTGGCCCAGAAGGGACAACACCATTCATAAATTGAAATGTGACAATCAAAGCAAATTCACAACAAACTAAGCATAATCACTGCAAACACAAAGGTAAATACTACCTTAAATACTAGCGCAAACAAAATATTCACTGCAAGCAAAATATAAACGGCACGCTGCAAACAAAAGTAAACTGCGCACTGCAAACAAAATATAAACTGCACACTGCAAACAAAATATAAACTGCACGCTGCAAACAAAATATAAACGGCACGCTGCAAACAAAATATAAACGGCACGCTGCAAACAAAATATAGTCGGCACGCTTCAAACAAAATATAAACGGCACACTGCAAACAAAATATAAACTGCACGTTGCAAACAAAAGTAAACTGCGCACTGCAAACAAAATATAAACGGCACACTGCAAACAAAATATAAACGGCACGCTGCAAACAAAAGTTAAAACCGTGCGCGCGCATGGCGATTAGGACTTCCTCCTTTATACTTCCTGTTCTGTTCTTCAGCATGCGATTGGTAGATTATTTTTGTTGACAATGCTATAAAGAGCAGAACAGGAAGTTACGAAAATTATATTTTTGCCATATATCTAACAACATTTTTTAATTTTTTCACCACAATAAGTAAAATTCCAAACAAACTAGAAAACTAAAGGAGGAATACTTTACGTAGTTCACCCATAAAGATCGAAATTATGTGTGGAATATAGTTTTAAAGTATTAATTTACAAAAAGGAATATTCTGTGGGAAAGAAGGAATGTTTGTGGAAATGTAATATTTTGCATTTTTTCGCGCCTCTGAAAGCAGTCAGCTAGACGGCTACGTACAACTCGTGAGTCGCGTGGTTCTGTTTGGTTCTGTAATTTACATGTATACCGTATAAAAATGTCAAATATACGAAGCGAAATTCGCGAAGCGGTACGAGAAGAGGTGACACGTTTGCTTGCAAGCACAGCATCAACTTCATCGAGTCCTTCAGTTGGGACTTGTGAATCGAGGCGTGAAACTACTAGAGATAGCGAGAGATCCAGTGGCGCCAGCAGTTCGAGATCTAGTAATCCTCGAGTTCGACATAATGATCCTAGCACCTCCAGCAGCTTGTCTAGCAGCACTATATCATTCCAGGAGTTTTACAAATTACGCGAGAGCCAACGTCAACAAGGCTGTAAGCCTCCAAAGGCAAAAAAGAAAAAGAAAGACTCTTCATCAACAAGTAGTGAGAAAAAAACAACTAATGTCGATATAAAAGTTGGTCTTGCTAGCCAAACCGACGGAGCAATTAAAACTCGTCGTGGTAAGACGCACGTCATAACCGTAACTGCAACAGCAACGAAAGAACAGATCGTTGAAAAGGCTGTGGAGAAGCATTCCAGCTTCGATCAGTCGTTTGATGACACGGTAGCTTACGTCTTATTATATCCTGACTATCGAGAAGTTCGCTGTGTTCCAGGGACAACGCAGCCTTTTGTATTGGCAAATTACAAACAGGCAATTGGCAAAGATTATAACCGGCTTACATTTTACCTCCTCCCACTAGACGATGTAGACAATTCTGATGATAGCGATAAAGAGTTACCGAAAACTACTCCTGCACCTAGTGATATTCGTAATTATGGTACCCTCGATTTTCGCACCATTCGTCATATAGTGATACTGAGGAAGAAACAAATTTACCCAACAAAATTATCAACCAAGTTCAAGACAACCATCCTATTATTAATGTTGATGATCAAGACAATGCTTCTACTTCACAAGCATTTATATCAGGTGGGTTTATACAGTGTCATAGCAAAATGCAATCCTTCCACCCCCACATGTGGTGAATGGTTAATAGGATCATTGTCTATGGAGTGTTCTTTATTTTATACAGTTGGGGGGATTTCATGTTGCTTCCCTCCCCAAATCTATATAGAGATGAGTCGATCACTGAAATAGCTGATTAGCCGATCCGATTAGATTAATCGGTGGCCGATCAAGATGTATAATTAGCTAATTAATCGGTCTAGCCGATTAATTTCAAACCCCATTCCCTATATCTTACTGCAGGTTCAGGTTTAATAAGTGTTTAATTTCAATATTTATCATGTGTTTCTAGGCAGCTTAATTGACCTTGCTACAGTTTCGTTTGTACAATAACAACCTAATTACTACTCTATTATGCAACTGTTGAAATGAACTCCATAAATATTCACATTAAACACTCAACCTGAATCCGCAGTAAACCACTTGCATGTACTGTATATTAATATACAGTATATCTTCTTTTCTGATTCAGTGCGTGGTGTTGAGTGCCCAACATGTTTCATCAAGTATCCTGTTGATGAAATTTTGGAGCATGCTGATATCTGCGCCTCTCATATTTTCGATTTTGGAAGTTCAAATATTAGCGGACAAGACGATTCGCAATTGGAACAAATTGCAACCGATTGTTGGAATGACGATGACATTGACCAGCCCACCTTTCAGTCTTTAATTTACAAGGCCAAAGAAAATATGGAAACAGACCAACCAATAAGAATAAATGTTAGAAGGAAAACGATGTGGGACGACTTTACTAAAGAAAGAGCAAGACGGTTTAAGCCCGAACAAATGCTGAAAGTTGTGTTTGTTGGAGAACCAGCAATTGATGACGGTGGCCCCCGTAGAGAGTTTTTATCAGGTATTTCAATATCTGAGTTTTCAAAAAAAATAAAATTGGAATCTGTGTTTTTGCAGCATGTGATCTCTCAGAGTGCTCTAAGGCACACAGCACACACAGACTGCCACATAATATTATGTAGTGTAATTTTGATCTGTGAATCCACAACCACCACCCACATGTGCCCCATTTTCTCCAGGTTGTCGGTTCCTATGGCAAGAGAATTAATAATTTATTTATAAGAAAACATCCAACTCTCACAAAACACTGGGAGCTGCTGTAGCATATCAGACCCAAGCTTGACATGAACAGACAACCTTTTTTGAATTAGCTGTATATTAACCCTGTGTCCTAAACTTTATTCTTGTCTTGTGTGGCGCTTTTTTTAAAATAAAATTTAATCCGATGTATTTAAGTTTCGAGTTACAGAGGGGGTAGGAGAATTTGCGGGGGTGAAAAAAGTAGGGGTTGTGCATCCCCCAGTAAATCTGTCTAATGCATCACATACCTAAACTGTCCATTGATGGTAACTAACTTAGTAACTTCTCCCATTATTTTCAACCCACAGTATATAAAACATTTCCCACCTATTTCATTCCTCAGCCAATAGAAGATAATTTGTTACATTTCAACTCATTACATTTACAACATGGTATCTATTGTTAATTACCTGTAATGTGTGTTCAGGTTTTTTATCCACTTCTGTTTTCGTTAAAGGACATGTTTATTTTCGTTTGTTATTTAGATATGTTGGAACTTGCAGAGCGGAGGTTATTTTTGAATGGATGGCCAGTGAAGTCCGTGATTGCTCTTTTTTCCCAGCAATTCCGAATTGCTGGTGAATTAATGGTAATGTCAATTCTACAAGGAGGCCCTGCACCAAACTTCTTAGATTCAGAAGTGTATGCATATATCAGTAGAACAACTTTGGACCCAGATAAAAATACTGGCATTGTGAACAAGAATATTGCAAAAAATGTAAGTTTTTCATTTGTTGATTACTGTACAGTTAGGAATTACAGAAATAGAAAGCAAACTAAAGCATGTATTATTGTCCATAAAAATGTAGGGATCTGTTATCTTTTATCAAAATGATGATATGTCAGCTGATAAAGATGTACAGTGTACAGTAATCTTCTCTAGTACTTAAACTATTGACATAATTAACCCATTAGCTGGCAATACACCCAATGTGCCCCACTTTATGGTCTACAATGTCGAAATCAGTGGTAGAGTACTGCCAGTAAATATATACTGTAAGTATATATAAGATACTGCTGCCGGTAATATACTCAAAACATTCTGTTCCGGTTTGCTCCAGGGTCAGTGGGTCACTAGTAATTTGTGCAAATTGTACAAGTTAATGTTTGTATTTTTAAGTAATACTATCATTACTGGAGACTTATATTTCGTTTTAAAAAAAAAGTATATTTATTGTTATTAAGCTTGCAAATGCCAAAACTGATGAAGAGGTCCAGTCCATTTTAACACAAGATGATACTCTTGATGTGCTCGACAGCATAGGCTGCAGAGGAATTCCGCAGAGAGAGACGACAACATCGGTGATTAATGTTATCAGGTTATTCTTGATTATTATTTTTTCTATTCTGCTCTTCTTTTGCATTGTATGTATTCTATATAAAATCAATGTCAATACTTGCCTGTGTGGCAAATATTTTCAGTAAAACTACCACATACTGTATGTACATGCAGAAAACTACATCTGCAGGGTGTGACGTCATTACACAATATCGAGAATGATCTGTGGGCCAATCAAAAGCAATATTGTATATTATGTAATGTGTAATAATAAACATAGGTGGATTTTGCACCCCCCCACACACACACACCAGAAAATTCGCCCATGATAATAAACAATTATTGAATGTGGTTGAACATGATATGAAGAATTCGCCTTTTCCCAATAGAGCAGAGTACTGGGTCTAGTTGTACACCGCAAAGCATCTCTGAGGGATTGTTTGGAGGGACAAACGACCAGACTTGTACTCCATAATCACAAAATAATCCATAGGTGATACCCAAATAATCCATAGGTGCTTTGCGGTTCACGACTAGACCCAGTACTCTGCTCTATTGGGAAAATGCTAATTATCAAGCCGATGTTTCGTGTTAATAATAATTAAGATACAATTATTGGACAAGATTGGCCAATTAAAAGTAGACCAGGATTTGTCAGACCAATTATTTACATATGACGTTGTTAAAGACAAATTGTAACATTTTGGGATAACCATGTTTACTAATAATATTTGTTTTATTATAATTCACTATTCAGTTATATTGCAGAAGTTCAAACTGACATGGATTTTATGCAATTTTTGTGGCATAATTCTGAATATCCTCCTTGAGCAGCCAATCATTAGCACTACCGGTATGTAACAATTTTATTTTCTGCATTTAAATTGTAGATCAATATGCATACAAGATCAGTTTTCAGCACTTTTTCCGCAGTTGATGCAACTGGAAGAAGGGTTGTCTGTTTGTAATGTGTTGCAGTCAATCCAGAAATTCCCAAGTGTTTGGAAAGTGTTATTCCAACCAAGCCAGGAATTTCAGATGAATAGTGAGAAGTTCCTAGATGAAGCTGTTGTGGAATACATCACTTCACAGGTGCTACGGGAGAAAGAGATTACAACGTACAAGTTCTTTTCCGATATGGTACTACTTTTAGATGATGGGGAGTGTTACGGGTTTCGTGTTGTTTTTTTCTTGCTGCATTGCTTGACCGCAATTGTCCCAGTATAATTCTATTTTACCTCTTCACAATGTAATCATAAAGTCTCATATCATCATCAAATCATAAATATCATAAATCAAATCATAGATCTACATTCTCATCTAATAATTTTAATTATTCAGACTAAGGTGAAGTTTATTTGCCAAAGCGAAGTTGTGGTGGATAACATTAACTGAATTATTCTTGAATTTGATTTCATTTGAGATTTGCCTCATCACACTCATGATTCATTCCGGATATGTTCTCATAAAATCATTGCGATAAAATTATACCCCTACCTTACCCTTACCCTACCCTACCTTACCCTACTTCACCCCACCCTACCCCACCAACATCTCACCATATGTTCAAGATTTTCAGGGTATCTAGTGGTTTACTGTATTCAATATATATTTTTATTGTATTCAATATGTTTTATTGTGTTTGGTCGGTTTGCAGCACGATCTCGATTTCGGCTTTGCATCAGTTTGGCAAATCATACACGCACTCCCCTAAGTATATATTAAAACAATTCAAACATGTCACACAATGGCTCCAAAGTGGGCAGTGAGCACCCACAGCGTATCAGGATCCAAATACCGCACCCACTTTTTCGGTCCAATTTACTACCAAATTACAAACAACAAATGTATTAATGTAATAGAAAAGCGTTTTGATGAATTTGACAAAAAAGCTGAATAGAGTAAATACACTTTTTAAGAGTGGTTCTAAACAAGTTGATTTAATTTAGGCACTGACGTCATTGAACATTGTTACATAGTCGGCTCGATGCCACCATGATACCATCTCTCAATCTGATTAGAGTTGATTAAACTTTGATTTCATTTTTCAAGGAATTGATGTTATCTTTCATCAAATGGATGACAGGATCTAAAACTATACCTCCTCTTGGATTTCCCAAAACGTTTTCAGTGCAATTTGTCCATGGTTGTGCTGAAGCATGCCGCTGTCGACCCACTGTTTCAACATGTGATATAACCTTAAAAATACCAGTTCACCTGACAACAGAAGAAGACATGCGTGAAATATTTATATCAGCAATCAAAGATTGTGCTAGCTTTGGAAACATTTAATCAATATTGAACTCTGCTGCAAGAGATTTCAATGAGAACATACTTTTTAACTATTGGTTTTGTTGCTCGAACTTTGCTTGGTATTGACTTGTGCCTATGGCAACACTTTTCAACAAAAGCATCATATTTTAGTTCAGTGTTAAATCTTACTGGGTCAGGATGCTTGGAAACAATTCTTTTTTGAATACCCACACATCAGAACATTATAAAATAATGAGAAGCAAGTTTAAATTACTTTTAATACAGAATACAAATATGCATATAACAGTATTACAGATCATTTCACATAACTTTTGTCAAAAATGTTCCGAAGTTTGTTTCGAAATTCCAAAGTTTGTTGGGATGTAAATAAGTTCATTCAAGTGTTTTGTAAACAAAGCTCCTGATTGGTTCACAACTTCACAAAATAACATGTCATTCCAGAAACCAATCAGGAGCTTTGTTTATAAATCAGTTTGAATGAACTTATGAACTTCCCAACGTAATTCCCAATTTCGAAACAAACTTCGGAACATTTTTTGTCGAAAGTTATGTGAAATGATCTATAAACAGTGTGCATTTAAACATTTGCATTTAAACATTTGCATTTAAACATTTGCATTTATCAAAAAGAATACATGATTCTGAGTGGATTTAATTTATTTAGATACACACTGTAGATCTAACATATAACGTTATATGATAGTAGACATCTTATGTCAAGTATTTGTGTTCAAATGATAAAACATTTACCATTTTAAACAATGACAGTCTTCATAGTGAATATTTTGTACCCCCTCCTGAACACGAGTTATAAAAATCCAGACATCCCGTTCACATTGCATTCTATGTTTCCTTACAATGAGTCATTACAGAAAACATCTGACTCCCATATCCCTTTTGGATATTCTAATTAATTAAAAATGTTTTAGTTTTAGCAACCTTCCTTTTCGTACACAGTTGATAGGGAGGGAGTATGGTAAAATTTAGAGATTTCCCAACATACATTATTAAAGCGATGTCATTTCAATAACCTTTATTATAATGACATCAAACACAGGAAAAATGTTTATGAAAGGTGCTACATGAAATTTGATTGGCTCTTGCAAAAATTATTTTTTCATGTTTGACATTATAAGAAAGGTCTATTGTACAATAAGGGATTTTTGAAATATTTTTGCATAACATACTTACTGTAATGCTCTATTTATCCCCCCCCCCCCCAAAGGCGTAGCCAGGATTTTCTGTCAAGGGGGGGCCAAAAACGAAGAAGGGGAGCTTAACAAAAGTATACAAAAGTTAGATGTACCAGGGGGCCAACATTTTCTCAGGGGGGCGGGCCGTCTGGCCCCGGGCCTGGCTACGCCACTGCCCCCCCCCCCTTATTCTGTCTCTCTCTCTCTAGTAAGCCCTCCAGGGCACTTTAAACAGAGATTACAGTAATTAACCCATTGAGTGGCAGTACTCTACGACTGACAAGTAAAATCGTCTGGCCTTAGACAGGGTAAATACATCTGGCATTAGACAGAGTTAATTTTAAATTAGAGCACATTGTCAGTTAACGAGTTAAACCATTAGTAGGCAATTTGCCCAATATATATATAATTTTGTGAGGTGGGTGCCAGGGTGGGTAGCAAGGTAAATAGATAAGAGTAGGTTATCCAGCTACCTGAAAATTAAGACAATAGTTTCTTAAGCGAAGATTCTTTGGCAAGAAATTAGTTTGTCTAACTTCTAGACAGACCTTTGCTTGAAAAGTATTGTCTTATTTTTCAGGAATTTGGATAACCTACTACCTACTCTTCTCAGCTACATTACTAATATACTGTCCTAACTAGGACAGGCAAACTGTGTTAGCTGCTCAAATAGGACACCAGCTTCTTGAATGGATGATGGATGGTATAGGTTATTGTTCTCCATAACATAGTGAAAATATTCTTCGAAAATTGGGTGTGTCTCATCCTCATTATTCTCCAATCTGTTCTCAATCTCTGTTACTTTTTCTGCCAAAACTGGGTGCAAACAATCACTGTGACCAAACTCCTCCGGCAGGAAATACATCATGTCCGCATTTCAGAGACTCTAGATTTAAAAATTGGGGGGGGCGCATGCCCCCAGACCCCTCTAGCATGTCTCACGCCTTCGGCGTTCGACTTATGTTTGAAAAATCCTAGATCCGCCCCTGGTAGACCTTGCCTATCAGTTTGGAGCAGGTATTTTGCATTTGGCCATGCCAATTGCCGGGTATGATTTCTAATATTTTATTTTGTATTGTCTACACCTTTAATCAAAACAGTTGAAGCGGTGGCGAAAAACTTTGTAACTAACCAATTTCCATAGATTATCTGCTCCATTAAGTATCGCCAATTGTACGAGTTAATAAACGCTTGTTTGGTATATTGTAGTTTTTTTTTCATTGCGGGATTGTGCCTTTGTTGTTTCCAATGTTCATCTTCTTGGCTTTGGTCGTTGGAGGTTGGAGGACTTTGAACTGGGTCGAAGCTGTCCTTCCTCCGCTGACCAAGGGGCTTGCCTTTGTTTGGTTGCCTCAGTATGTTTTTCTTTGCATTTTTTGGTCGTGAGCGAAATGTAGTTTCTTCGATTCTGCTGTTCGGGATGTCGCGTCAAGCCCATTCAGTGACATTGGGTGTATGTCCGCGGCGAGCCCCTTCAGGTTGGCGGAGGGATGGCAGCCAATGATCACCTGCGTGCAACTCTGCAACTTGTTAGGCAGGGGGAGAACGTCAACTTAACATTGTCTTAACTTGTGGTTTCCTCTTCAGGCGAATTTTCATCGTGGTATCCACGATCGCCCCCTCACTTCTCCAGCTGCTAAAGCCTGTTTAGCGACCTGTTCATAGTGCTCTTAATGATATGCGAAGATTGAATATGCGAAAATAACCCATACTAATGTAAATTGAGCTTAATAAATTAATACATTACACTGCTGGATGCCTATAAATAACGAGTGTGCATGGCCATAGTGCTCGCTTCTTGCTCTAAAACGGCCTGTGCAGAGGAGAGCGGCCCTCACACCGTCTCAGCTGTGCTGTTCAATAAATTGTGATAGCTAAATACTAAAATAACTATAGGTTATAATCCTACTATTCTCTTTAAGAATCATTTGAGGCAAAAAGGAATGTTTAAAGCGGTCCGTTTTGCAGACATAATTATTAAATTTACGTGGTAATCTTAAGTCATAATTGGATGTATATGGATCTGGAAACAAGTCCGTCATTTTATCACTATTCTTATTTTGTCTAAAGAATATATTGGTCGCAAAGGCTTTCACGCCGGTTGTACAGTGTGGTAATACCCGTAATCTTTAAAGCCTCACCATAACTTGAAAGGGAGACAATGATCTTTAGTGCGCGTTTCTGGATTCGTTCAATGTCTTCAGATAAAAAATTGTTACTGATGTTATAATGCCACACTTGGCAAGCATACTCAAGTATTGGTCTTATTACGGTACTATACACAACGATCAAGGTCTTCATATCCGCTTTAGATCGTTTTAGTAACCTCAGCATATACAGTCGTTTACTTTGAAAGTAATTTTTAAACGCTAAAGCTAGTTTGTTTTGCTGCTATATTTTTAGGGAAAAAACTGCATGACTACAACATTGTAACTTGGTTTTGTAAGCATGTTTGTCAGTTCTTAGCTTGAGACTTTGGAGAAAGTTTTTTTTTATATTATGGCAACAATTATAACTTCCCCTTAACTTACAGATCTAAGAAAAAACATACAATACAACATTGCTTTACATATAACATAAAAATATCACATAAATATAATATCCAATTATCCATCTAAAAACAATTATAGATGAATGATATATACAGTACCTATGAAAAATAAAAGATGTGATACATATTTTATTTTACTTCAGGATAGTATGGAGAGTGAGCTGCTGGTAACAGTAACAGAGACAAAGAAAAAGTAAGAAATTTTGAACAGGAAATTCTAATGCTGTAATTTTATGAAGAGTATTTTTTATATTGACTGATCACTAGTATATTAAAATGTAATACAAAGTGGGTGGGTAGATGCAGTGCCGTAGCCAGAACGATAATTGGGGGGGGGCACATATTCATATATTCGTGTTCTGCTTTATTAATTTCTTTTGAAATCAGTTGTTTTTATGGTATGTGAACACGAATATATGAATATGTGCCCCCCCAATTATCGTTCTGGCTACGGCACTGGGTAGATGAGGGCACAAGGCACATTTCCAGACATACAGTATCAACACAATCATCCCTTTTCATAACAAGTAAAATCTGTCTGGTATTAGGCAGAGAAGAAGCATTATAAAGAAGTGATGTAATAAACCCATGTAAACTATGTAATATTAATTTAATAATATTACACAATTAGGGCATGAGTGGATGCTTTAATAAACTTCTTTACATATTTAAAATTGTAGGGCTGTGGTAGTGTGGAATGAGAAAAATGATCTCATCATGTTGCGTGAAGTCGCTGCAGACGGGTTACTTCAACACAAGGCTGGGTCTCGAGAGAGAGGAAGCCGGATGGCAAGCTGTTGCAAATAACTTAAGTAGCAGCTTGACGTCTGGCTCTGAAGTAACATCAAGAGCGGTTCGCGACCATTTTACCATAATTGCAAAGAGGCATCAAGCAAGGTTGCAAAAGAAGAGAGGGGAACTGGTTTAGGAGGAGAAGAACTGACAGAAAGAGAAGCATTGTTGGAAGAATTGGTTGATATTCGTGATGAGACTGAGAGGAGAGTAGAAGAAGAAGCTGGTGTAAGGAGAGGGAATGCTGAAGCAGAAAGATCACAAGCATTGGAAATGAGGGAGAGAGCAATGGAAAGATATGGAGAGACTAGGCAGAGATTGCAAGGAGAATTGGGGCAATACAAAACACCACCAGAAAAGAAGAGAAGAAGTTCATCAGAAATGTTTGATTGGCTAAAGGAAAGGGCGTCGAATGAGAGGACATCTAGAGAGAAAGAATTGGAGGATAAAAGAGAAGAGAGAGAAGCTTTGAAAGAGGAAAGAAACATTTTAATTGAACAGATGAAAGCATCTCAAACCCAGTGGCAGCATCAGCTATTGCAAGTTCAAGAGCAGCAACAGCAGCAAAACCAGCAACAACAGCAGCAGTTTGGCATGCTTCATCAGCAGATGTTATCAATGATGCAACAACAACAACAACAAACACAACTATTGGCTTCGTTATTGAGCAACAGAGATAAATGATTTTACATTTACTTTTAAAATTAAGTAGAATAGTTGTTTAATGCATACTTTTTCAGGTATAAATTATCAAATTCACTGAATGTTTTATACAGTGGAGAAGCCAACCCAACAATTTAATCATGATATACAAATATTTTCATGTTCAAAGGCCATGAAAACAATCCATTTCTAAAGAAATGAATATTGATAATTTCTGAATAATGATTTCTAATGATCATTTCTAAATTTGAATGGGATGACTGGCAAATTGTTGTGCTGGCTTTGCCACTGGTTTTATGCTATTTTTATATAATACATGAATTGTAAGATATTAAATAATTTGTATAAATAAAAATATTTAATGTTAAAAATATTAATAAAAAGGTTATTATATATTGTAATATGAATAAATATGCTCAATATTGTAATATATGACTTGTAAAATATTAAATAATTTGTATAAAAAATATGTTAATATTTAATAACAACTAAATGTTAAAAAAGTCCATGTTTACTATATTTGACAGTTTAGTTTAAGCAGTATTTAAATACAGGTTTATGCTAGAAATGGTTCCCAACTTTTCACCTGTCTATTGTATTTTTTTCCAAATTAATCCCAACATTACTATTGGTTGTATGGGAAAAATACATTAGACATTTGCCGAGATAGATAATTAATATTTTACATATACAGTATTTTACCAGGATGGATTTACTGGGGAGGGGGAGGGGGGTGCTATTCAGTCATAGTAAAGCATAGACATATTGGAAACAAAATGAGATACAGTAATTTGAGTAAAAAGATAACAAACTGTGAACAACAATTACAATTCAATTTGAAATACCGGTACTGTAGTCAAGCAATACTAATGACGATGTTGATGGGCGGGTGGCGTACATGATCGCTCAACACTAGAGCTGGCAGAACCCTCCCCCCACCAGATCATGGTATTTTACCCCTGGTATTTTACAAGATGACCTTTACATCTCTGGTATTTTACAAGATAACTTTTACAACATACTCCAACATGATTTTTTTATATAAACATTCACCAAAAATGTTCATCTAATGTAGGTGGTAAAAGTTCAAAAAAGGATGAAACAATGTTCTATAACAATCACCAAAAATATTCATCTAATGTAGGTGGTAAAAGTTAAAAAAAGGATGAAACAATGTTACCATAAAGGCAGGTACGAGCATTCTCAAGCAAAGCACAAATATAATACATCTTACCAACAGCACTAAGATTGAGTTTGGTCTGCCTTTTAAAGTCAACAAAACTAAAGAACTTTGTGATATTTCCAAACATCCATTCCACAGCAATTCTAACTTCACTCATTCCTTTGTTGAAATCTCTCATTTGGGGTGTGAGCTGTGCATCCTTGAATGGCATGGTCCTTGTAGGTGAACCCCTAAAGGATATGCTGGGTCGTCGTAGATACAGAGAGGCTCGTTGTCATAAAAAGCAACACGTCTAAGGGTGGGTAACAAACCAGACTCATTCAACATCGTACTGTCGTGTCGTTTGCCTTCATATGGACCAGACAGATTAGCAATTAATCCATTTGGTAGAACGACACTCTGAAATTTCATTGAATGCACCCGTTCGTGACCATTGTACATGATCCGTTGGTGGTATTTTGGTCTGGCTATTCTACGTACAGTCCCATCGACAAACCCAAAACAATTATGAAGAGGAGCACCATGCTGATGAACTGCCAATGCATAGTTGTGAAGATGGTCTGCAGAAAGGAAAAGCTGATCCGAACTCTTAAGGCGATGCTGGTGGGTGTCGTAGACAATGTCAACTACTTTGTTGAAAATAAGGCACAACTCTGTTGGGTTTCGACCAAATCGACGAGTCATATCTATGTACCTGCACGGGTATGCCAATGTAGAATATATACATATACTGTCCCTCCCTTTCCCCTCTTCATGGGACCTTATAATAGGCATACATGAAGTAGGTGCGCAAATCCTAAGTCGTCTATCAAATGATCTGCATATGCAAACATTAAAGCATCACGGGCAGCTTGAAGACCACGGACAGCCATGTTTTTGCTGTCGTTATATCTGTTATATCATCATTCAATATACAGCATAATATAAAATTCAAAAAATACTTACTGTAAAAATCACGACATCATGACGATAGCGGTAAAGAATTTAACGGAGAAACTTTATTTTGTTTGACCATCAATTTACAATGATAAAAAATAAAATAAGATTACATATATAAGATTGTCTAGAAATTTTATCAAATGCTCGAAAGTTCGTGTATTCAAATTTCAAACACATTTACAGACTATTCCGTTCGACTTCAGGACTTTTCGTTGTTCTACGGAAACAGAGTTATTTATCTGATTCAAAAATTCTTTAAAATCGCGTTGACTGATCAGCAAAATCTTTATTTAAATTCGAGAACACAAAACAACACCGTCCTCGCAAATCTAAATCACATTTCATTCACAACGCGACGGCGTCCTATTTCCAGTCTCTCCCTCGTTCAACCACGTTCTCGTCGACGTCGCGTCGTGTTATCTAAAACTGTCTAATAACAAGCCAGCATCGCTCTGAAGTCGATGCGACTGTTGCAAACAGTAGCATTTTGCCTGATTCTTATTGGCTTGCTTCGTCTGACCGTAGCAAACCAATGAACACGGGTATTTGCAAATTTTTGCAACGGTCAGTTTCAATCTGACCAGGCATGGTAGAAAACCCGGGTACCGGATAACCGGATAACCGGATAATCGGATAACCGGATAACCGGATAACCGGATAACCGGATAATCGGATAACCGGATAACCGGATAACCGAATAGTATATAGAGATTTTTTCATGGGAAATACTTACGTGTGGTATTTACGCACGCGTTAATTTGTTTCCGCAAATTAAACGAACGAGCGAGTGCAAAATTTGTTCTTCATAGACGATACAGAGTTTATTTATATTGCACAGCGAAAAGTATAAAGGTTTGTATGTTTCATAAAGCGAGACAATCAGATAAACAAAGTCGTGTCGTACAAAAATACATCGGAAAATACAAATTTTTCAGTATTAATGAACAGGAAAGGAAATATCAATTTATTATTATTATTTACAAATATTTTAAAACGGTAGCTCTTCAGAACACCTATGATCCGTTTTTCAAGAGGCCGTTTAAACTAATATTTACAAAGTTTAATAAAAATTACATCTAAAATATAATATAATATAAATTATCACACAGTTAAAGTCTAAGAGAATATATACAAAATATTGTATGCACACATAAATATAACTAACAAATATTGTCGTTTTCTCTGAGAAATGTTTTGAATTGTCCCATCGTCATTTCTTTTGCCTTAATCTCATTTGGCAAATTATTCCAGCATTTTGCCCCTGAGTAGCTAATACTTTTTTTGAGGAAATTAGTCTTAGGTTTATCCAGTTGAAAATTAGTTCCCTTATTTCTAAGGTCATATTTTTCATTATTAGAATTTTTGCTCTAGTTTCATAACATTTTAATCAATTATCATAAAATTTGGCACAAAGCTAGATCTTATAAATATACAAATTTTCAGACTATTTTCGATTGACCGTGCTTCATGGTTTCCATGACAACGACAAAAAACTACGATATAAACAAATACTTGTGGAAACAATAACTCCTGAAGGGAAAAAGATACTAACTCCAAATTTTGTATGGCTGCTTCTTATATCCAAATGTACAGGTTAAGTAGACAGAATTTTTTTTGGCCAAACTGTTATGTCCGAAAGCTGAAAAAACACTGTTTCCATGGTAACCTAATGCGAAACCGCCTATTTTGAAAAACTGTCTACTTAACCCATAAAAGGTCACAAGATACACCTATAGTCCAAAAATGAAGGGAAAATCTTAAATCCTCTATTTTTTAGATTTTCCACAAACTCGATTATTCAGATATCGTTCGTTTTGAGAAAATCAAGGTTAAACATAAACAAATGTTTTGAAGTATTAAGCTGGTGTGTAGAGCACACAAAATGGTCCAAAATAGTCCACCCCTTTCCTACAGGGTTCCAATAAATAATCATGATCTATATTAGACTTGAAACAACATAGAACTATAACAAAATGGGAAAATGAATAGCGACTAGAGTGTATATATCAAAGTACGTTATTGCATCTTGCTCACTATTTATAGGGTTGTCACAAAAAAACTGAACTTAAGTACATCATTTAAGGTTTATCATTCTCACACTTGATGAGTAGCTGCTATAATGCTATATATCTACCAGCTACTGCAACAGTAAAGCAAGCAACCATCTTCCCTAAAGTCGTCTTGCCGCATCCCTTGTTTCCCAAGCAACCTTCAACCGCGGACCAGCTTCTTGCAAGAGCTACCAATCATCGTGGCTTTTACCGACCTTTTTCATTTAGATAAGGAATATATTATAAATCCATTAATAATCCTTCATGACCAAATCGGATATAAACGCATACATCTATGACTCACATTATGGTACCCACCAACCCGGCTTACCACCATGAGTCCATGACTGGTAGCTGCCAACCAGGTTCCCAACCATTAGTCCTTGGGGAATTAGTATTATAAAACAGAGTAATCTAGACATTTTCTTTCTATGTGGTTAAAATAACTGATTTGTTTGAAACCAAAAACTGTATTTAGCTGCTATTTAATAAACATTTGCTAAAATATAGGACATCATCCAGCAACTTGAATCATGTTGCAATTTCAGGATCAACTTCTGACGCTGCATAAAGTCCAAATATTTTCGTGCCTTGCGGTTCATAATGCTTCTGTTCCTTTATATTTTCTCAACAGTAGTGCTTAGTAGTCTTTTTGAAGACACATAGTTACAACCAGACACATAAATAGCGGCAAGATTGTCCCTGACAGCCGAATAACTACAAAGATAGCCATTATGGCGGCAGCGCCATTACTGAACTTTTCAGCCCTTTCTTGTGTGTATTTATCAATATAACCATTTCTTTTCTTTCACGTTACCTATCTTAGCTTTGTTCCATAATTATTCTTTATTTCTAGCACATAAAACCCCATGAAAATACTTTTAAAAGACTTCGATTGAAAGGGATTGTTTATTATTTTCCATCACTCCTCAAAAATCACCATAACACAATGCTCAACAAAACGCTATTGCGTTGGTTTTAGGGGCATGGATCGAGCAAGATGATGCATATTTCAGGAGGGGGATTTCCTTTGTTCTATTGAGGGGGGTTTGCGGCAAAATATTATAATTTTGGATGAAAAACCCCCATAGCAACCAAAGTAAAAATAAACCGTTGCTAAGCACAATTATCGGATATCTTTCTACTTAAATGGATATTTTGACGAAAATGTTTAAAATATCCGAATGAAAACACCATGAAGTGAAAATATAATAGTTTATGAAATAAATAAAGCCAAAAAAAAAATTTAAAAACTTTTGAACTGTTCCTGAAATTTTAGGGTAGACTACCACCTTACACTAAACATGAATGTGAATCTCCCGCTCTCCCTTCTTTCCTCAAGTGTTTGCCAATTAAGCTCTTTTAGGTCTTTTAGCAATTCACTTGTTCGTATTTCATGATTTGCCAGTAAAGCCTAGTTTCCATTAGGTCGTTAGCTGTCGTTACCTGTCTTTCGGGGTCCTTGGAGTAATCTTGAAAGACCGATAACGACTGAGTGAAACAGAAAACGACAGTGTCGCTGGGATAGAACAAATCCTATCTCAACGACATAAAACGACAGGAAACGACACGATTCTTCCCATAATGCTGTTTGTTCCCAATTCAAAATGGCGAATACAGATGGGGTTATTCACTATTCGGACGAAACGTTTATGGAAGAAGTACAAAAATACAAATGCCTTTTTAACAAATTCAGCAAGGAGTTTCGTGATAAGTACAAAAAAATTAACTGTTGGACAAAAGTAGCTGCTACATTTGGTTTGAATCCAGAAGAAGCAGAGAAAAGGTTTAAGAACCTACGTTCGTCCTACACAAGATTTCTGCGAAAAATTAAGAACATGCCGTCGGGATCAGGCAGAGATGATCTACCAAAACACGAAACCTACAAAGGAATGGAGTGGTTAAGACCATATATCGATCATCGCTCGTCAAAAACAAACCTACACGAAGCGAAGCGGCAAAAAGTTACGAACGTAGATGTACTTGCAAAAGCCGACTCTGAGTTTAATACAAGCGGTGCAAACAATACTTCTAGTGGTTTGAATAGCGACGAAGAGCATTCGATAACTGAAGAGACATATTCGATTGAGGGTATGCATGATTTAATTGATGAAAGTGACGTACAGACATTGCATGATATGATTTCTGAAACTGATGATGACATAACTATTGGTGACAAGACTGATGCTGACTTTGTACCTAAATCCAACAAAAATAAAGCCAGTATAAAGAGAAAGAGAGCTTGGAATGAAGCAAACAAAGCGCCAACAAAAGTGGAAATGGACAAAGTGCTTTACAATGCTGCAAAGTCAATTGACAACCATTTAAAGGAAAGTAAAGATGAGCATAGCCCTGCTAAATTTCACAGCAACAATGCTATTGGGGAAGATGATGAGGAAACATTGTTTTGTCGCAGTTTGATACCAAGGCTTAGGAGAATACCCCGTCTACATAGAGGATTGGTAAGACTTGAAATTGAACAAATATTTTACCAAGTTGAATGTTCTAGCTTACAAGAACAACAACAACAACCAAGGATTGGGAGTAAAAGCAGTCAATCTACATTTCATTTTATCACACATGAAGATAAAACATCCCAAGAAAAAAATACTGAACAATAAGTGCCAAGCTATGTACAAATAGCTACAGGACATTATTTCTGTTGTTGTGCAATGCAATTAGGCCTCTTGTTTTGTTTTGACAATATTTAGGGAAAGTACATTTATTACACCGAGGGAGGGGGATGAAGTTGTCTTGAAAAAAGCTAATATTTTTACAGGGCCCCTGTTGAGGTTATCGGTAAATTTCGATGCCCCCCCCTCCAAGTTTTTAAAATTTTCAATGCCCCCCCCCCTCCCTCTAGAATTCGGAATTGAAGGAGTACAATCCGGAATTCTCTCTTATCATAGATACAATTTGCAGTTCCTCAAGATGTCTGATATACTCAAGCATGTGCTTCTCCTCAACAAAACTACCGATCTGCTGCTTCTTTCACCTCACTAGCGCCAGATGAAATGGCACCGTCTTTAAAACATTTTAAATTGGCTCTAGGGGTGAAATTATCAACAGGTTGTTGTTGTCCATTATACAGCGTATTCGGAGTCTTGAACATGTTCATGTAGTGGCCAGGATTTCCTGGATCAGAGTAATGTGCTGGAACCTTACAGTATGTCGCCCCCACCCAATGTATCTCCCGGTATCTGTTGCAAATGTCTTCGCATGCCTGTCAAAAATGCATGCAAAAGTGCCAGTATGCTTCAATTTCTTTAATTTCCATCCCGTTTGTACGAAATATCCCATAAACATAGAACATATCATTCTTGCAAATTGTATATGCTTTTTTGCTTTTTGGCGCGTAAATTACTTCCCCAACCTGGCGCAAAAAAAATTAAAATAAGCTATAGGTGATTTCATGTATCCATTTAGAAGAGCACACTAAGGATATCTTGGACGTAGCAAAGCATCTGACGTAGCAGGGACGTAGCAAAGCATCTGACGTTTGGGGTGGGGGGGGATGTCAGAGGATTATACGTGTAATAATTATAATAAAGCTTTTTGTGATTGATTGGCACTCTCATACTAAGTTTTGGGAGAAAAGGGGGTCTGGGTGTCCTCCCCCAGAAAATTTTTACATTTTTGAAGCTCTAGGACTGAATTTCTGGCGTTTTCTAAAGCAAATTTCGCAAACAAATTGCATGTAAATTGACTGTATTTCACAAAAATGGTTATCATTTCACAAAAATAATTACTTTATTACGCAAATTTTACCTGAAAATGTAAAAATTTTAACTTTAATTTGCTGGGGTCAAACCTTTGAAAAGTTTAGAGCCCCCTCCCC